CCTTCCACCACCACCCCCCCTTCCCGCCCCGCACCCCTTCCTCCCGCCTCCAGTTGGAGCCGGGCCTCACCAGCCCATAATATTCCCCAGTCTCCTAAGGCTGCTCCAGCCCATAATACTCTCCTGTCTCCTAAGGCCTCGCCATCCCATAATACTGCCAGACGCCTGACCTGTGGGCCAAACCCCAGCCCGTTGCACACATCGAGGCTGTGTCAGCGCCGCCAGCCTCGCTCCCGTCCCTCTCCGCCCTCCTGCCCTGGGCCCCTCTCCGGGCCCCACCCTGTGCCTGCCTGGGCCCTGACTTCCCCTCCAGCCTCGCCCTTTCTCCTTCGCCCGGTTCTCCATCCCAGGCCCCTTTCTTTCCCACTCAGGTACTTCCACCCACGCCCCGGCTGTAGGTGCTGAAGCCCAGCGGGGAGAGGGTGCCCCCAGAGGGCAGCCGGCCAGGCCCTGCCCCTGCAAACTGTCTGCTTGACCTCGCACCATGGAAACCACCAGCCTGGCCCCAGTCCGCATTGCTGGGTGAGGATCCACCTGGGGCCCTCACTGTCTTCCAGAAACCCTTCCCTTGGGCATCACAATGGCATGTTCTTGTGGAAAAGAGCTCCCTTTTGGGGTGCCCCTCAGGTGCCTTTCAAAGGAGAGCCCATTGACCCTCGCAGCAACCCAGTGAGTAGGTATTCCGATCCCCATTTCGCAGAGGAGAAAACAGAGGTTCAGAGGCTAAGACACTGCTAAAGTCACATCGCCAGGAAGTATCAGAGCTGACACGAGTACCTAGGTTTTTCGGATTCCCAAGTTCAGAGAACCTTTGGGACTCTCCAAGACCCCTGTGCGGAACTTCACTTCTCAGTGCGCTCTCTGCTCCCCAGTAAGGGGCAGCGGGCGGAGAGTTACCCAGTCTCTTGTCTCCAGGGTCTCTCCATTCTGCACCACCATCCCATAATAATCACCTCACCTCCTCCTTTCTCCCACAGGACCCCACGTAGCCACCCGTGAGGCTTGCCCTCAAGATGGTTCAGGGCCAATAGAAAGGCACCTATGCCCCTCCGGGTTCCCTTACTTCTCCCCTGGTTCTCCTGAATTTTTCATTTCAAGACCAACGATCACTCCTCCCCTAACTCATCTCGCCATGCAGTGGACCAGCCTTTGGAGACAGACTTTGTGGAGAACCCAGAGGAGGTCTCTTTCGTTTAGTTGGTAGATCATCAAGAATGCTGCCTTGGAGATGTTGGGCACCTCCTCACTGGGGAAGGGACCTTCGGCCAACTGCACAGAGGCTGAGCCATCCTGCTTGAGCGTGCCCCCGCCACACTGTGTCCGGCACAGGGGCCTGAGGCCAGTGTAGAGGGAGGGACAGGCGTGCTGTCGGCTGAGTGGGCTAGAGCAAGGAGGAAGCGCTGGGAAAGGAGGCTGAGATGGTACAGTAGATCCAAGGTGAGACTTCAGTCAAGAGAGGTGAAGGAGAGGTGACTTACATGGGGGAGGAAAGGGGAGAAAGGAAAGTAGGGAAGGGTGAATGTCATAAAGGCAGGGATGAGATGAGAAGTGCCAGGAAGGGGAGATACAGTAGGATGTTGGGGAGCCAAAGAGATACTGTACCACTTCCTGGTTGTGTGACCTTAGGACCTTAACTTCTCCAGGGTGTCTCATCTGTAAAATGGGGTAATAATCATCCCTAACTCAGTGAGTTGTTGTAATAAATTAGATAATGCATTTTAAGCACTTAGTTGAGATCCAGGCATTCAGAGAGCATTTTAAAAATTTGTTAAAGCTCTTCTCCCTCCATTTAAGTTTTCCTCGTTTCCCGCCTTTGGATTTTCCTATACTTCAACTGAGATAACTCCAGGGCATGGACTGTGGAGCCCCCACATGTTGTCTCCATCATACAGTCCACTCAGTAATTGGGGAATCCTGTGAAAATGGTGATGGCTATGGGTTTTCTTAAACTTCCCCAGCCTGTTACTTGTGAGCTTCGGTCATTTCTCCTCTGCCTCTCTGTTCTTGTGATGGAAACCCTTGGGGTGTACTGAATGTGGGGAAACAGTCCACCAGAGCTGAAACACCAGAGGTTTCACATTGGAGACAGCCTACTTCATCCACCGCCACAGGCCACGGTCACACTTTTTCTGGACGATTTTAACAGCTCCCTGACCAGTCTTCCTTTCTCCTTAGACTCTCTCCACCTGATTTCCTACGGTTTATCCCACACTATGTCAAGGTTAGCAGAACCTTCAGGGGCTTCCGTTGCCCACTAAATGAGCTGCTAACCTTACTCTGCATCTCCCCCACTTTTTAAAAACTCACCTGAGGATACTTTTTCCATTGAGTTTTAGAGAGAATGGAAGAGGGGGAAGGAGAGAGAGAGAGAAACACATTGATTGGTTGCCTCCAGAACTTGCCCTAACCAGGGCTGGGAATTGAACCCACTACCCAGTTACATGCCCCTGACCCAGAATTGAACCTGAGACCCTTTGATACTCAGGCCAACACTTTAACCACTGAGCCACACCGGCCAGAGCTTACCCTGCATTCTTGCATCTTCTGTCTTGAATGGTAATTATAGTTGATTTGTTCTTTTGGTCCCACTGGATAGAAAACTACTTCACAGCAAGACCCAACTGTTCAACATTCCACAAATATTTATTTGTTCTTTTGTTCTAAGCTCCATTCTAGATGCTGGGGAATACATCAGAGAACCATCAAACAAAAATTCCTGCCCTCGGGGAGCTTACATTCTACCTGGGCAGGGGGAGGAGACAGACAATAAATTATAAAAATTATAATAAATAAATAAGTAAATTATATAGTCTGTAGAAGATACTTGCTATGTTAGTTTTAATTACTTTGGAATTTATTCATGTATCTGCATATAAAAATAATCAAGTAGTTTTTAAAAATTGTGTTCAGTTCTGTTTGTTAATCCCAGGGTTGGAAGGGCACGAGTCCTGAACCCTAAGCATGAGGCAAGATGGAGCAGGTGCTAACCTCCAGGCCTCTTTGAGAACAGCAGGAGGTGAGGGCCTGTGCCGGGTCTCTAAGCTCCCGCCAGATGGTGGAAGGCCCAGACTTCGAGGCTATGACGGAGGAATCTGGGTCAGTTCTCTGGTTTGGCCACCAGGGGTCATTTTACACCTGTAAATCACCATCCGGACGGATCACATAGAGACACACAAAAGGCCCAGAGATACACACAGGAAAACCCTGACACTGGCAGGAGCGCGCGCGCACGCGCCCACGCACACACACACACACACACACACACACACACACACACACCTGGCAGGAGCGCGCGCGCACGCGCCCACGCACACACACACACACACACACACACACACACACACACACAGAAACATACAGCATTGAGAGACAGGCATAGAAAGGCATGCAAGACCTAGGCACGCAACAACTCCCTCGCTAATGTCAGGGTCTCAAGATGTCCTAGTGCCAACTCTGCAACCCCTACCAGCTCCCGACTCCGACTCCGGTAAAAAGGGAAGAAAGCAGTAGGTGGTCCGTAAACCAGTCTTCCATTTCCCTCGCCTCCCGCTTGCTAAGAACAGCCAGCCCATTCCTGTCCTCCCATCACACTCTAACTTCCCTGTAAACTTCTTTCCTGGCTGTGGCACAGTTCCTGTTCCCTCAGGGAGAAGCCCCACCCCCTCCTCCTGAGTGTGTGTGTGTGTGTGTGTGTGTGTGACCAGTTCTACACCCCCCACCCCCCTTAGGGCTGCAGCTCCAGCAAGCCCAAGGCCATGTTCCATTTGGTGTGCAGCTCCTACTGTCCCACCCCACCCCCAACCCCAAGCCTTAAGGGCTACAATTACTAATTGATTTGTTGAGCATTGCTCTCTTCCACAGCAATAAAAAGCACTCTATATAATGCCCTGGGAAGAAGTTACACAAGAACTTTAATACTTTAGTATAGGTATAGTTCTCAAAGTGTGATCTGGGGACTGACTCTTTGACAAGTCCATGAGGTCAAAGCTATTTTCATAATGCTATTGTCATTTGTTCTTTTCACTTTCATTCCATCACAAGTATACAGTGGGGTTTTCCAGAGGCTTCATGAAAGATATCATTGCTCTCACAGCTAATGGAATGTGTGCCTATGTATTTCTGTTTTTTTAAACATGTTTTTTATTTATTTTAGAGAGGGAGATGGAGAAAGAGAAACATCGATGTGTGAGAGAAACATGGATTTGGATTGGCTGCTTCCTGCACGCCCCCCTACTGGGAATCCAGACCAAAATCCTGGGGATGTACCCTGACCAGGAATCGAACCAAGGACCTTTATGGTGCATGGATGATGCTCAACCAGCCGAACCACAGTGGCCAGATCTGTATGCTTTGAAAACTAAATTGAATTTCTAATATGGTAAGTATCAAAAGAACAAAGTATATGCAAAAGCTCTTTGGAATTCTCAATTTTTAAGGGTGTAAAGGGTCTGAGACCAAAAAATTTGAGAACTGCTACTTAGTACAAAGAATTGTTCCCTTATTCTAGATGAAGCTGTGAGGAGGGGTGTGTGTGTGTGTGTGTGTGTGTGTGTGTGGCAGGAGTAGACTTAGGATCTAGAATGGAGGAGGTCTTGAAAGGGGGTTGGAACATAGGATAGAAAAGACCTAGAAAGGGGAACAGGGATCAAGATTTTGGAGAAAAGAAAACCTTCTAACTCACAGTTTTGCCCTGCCCCCAACCACCCCATGATGGAGGTCAGGTCTAAATTATTACAAGTCTTGAAACAAGAAGGAAACCAGTTCTGTCTTATCCAATGAACTCTTGTATTTGCCTCAATGCGGGGAGGGGAAGCCCAGGTGGGAATGAAATGTGGGTGGCATCTATGGCCCTAAGACTGCTGTGGTCAGTCTAGAGCCAGGACGTCCATTTTTTCTGCTACATCTACTGGCGCTGGGCAGTGTTTCAAGTCCCCCGCAAGGGCATTTCACCCATTCCTCTGCCCCTGCCTTGGCAGGCTCACAGCACCACCCCTTCCTACAGACTGGGGACGGGTCTTCTTTTCTGTGCTCATCATCACCACGAACTTAAAGAGGACATTCCCACCAGCACCCTCCCTTCCCCGTGCCCCTTGCTCCCACACGTTGCTCCTTCTGCATTTATGAGTTGGAGTTGCCACCCAGAAATCCAAGTGTCGGATCCACCGCCCTCCTGTGCGCACCCTGCAAGTTTTCCACTGCGAGAGGCGCGAGGGGATGGAGGTGGGTGTAACCGGGCTAGGGCCCCATGTTCCTTTAGAGGACAGAATCCTCGGGGATTGGCGTCCGGGGATTGGAATGCCTGATCAGTCCTTGGCTGGAGGCAGCAGTCCCGCCGGTGGGGGTGGTCTTCTGGGGCAGTTGGGCGAGCGTCCCTCCATCCCCGTTGGTGGCCGAGGTCCTGGTCCCGAGAGGAGAGCCCAGGCCGCGCAGGGTGTTGCGGAAGCCCTCGGCGCTGAAGTAGTACACCAGCGGGTCGAGCACGCAGTTGGCGCCCGCCAGCAGCACCATCACCATCAGCAC